GGAATAATAGCAACGTTAGGTATGCGAACGGGCTGCCCATGCTCATGTTAACCTTATTCAACAAGTGAGAATCATCCACGAAAATATGCTCATTGCATCATGAGTCAATCAACCATTTAGTCTCAATAGAGAACATACCTGCTAGGTGGGCTGTGGGATCCTCCATACCCTTAGCAGAGTACCCAAAAAACTGTCGCAGCTGATCAAGTTGCTTTAAAGAAAAACCTGTGACAGGGCTGGCTTCCTCCTTGTCGTGCTCTGCTTGAGCCGCACGCAGCTCGCGAGGTCGTTCCCGAGGCGGACCATCGCCAGGAATACGTGGCCAACGCCGCTGCTGACCTTCATTGGGAGCCTCTCGTGTATCCTTAGGTGGATACCCATATAGTGCATATAAATCTTCTCGAATGTGGCCGAGTTTTAACAATACCCACATCGAGGGTATCTTTTCCACCCCGCGTACCGCCACGATCAGCTGGATTGTTGCATTCACCTTCGCTGCGAGCAGCAAAAGTAGCTGATTCAGAAGATGGCTTGCAGTTCTGAGCTATTAGTCGTTGCTGCTCCTCGTTCACAGTGATGTTGAAAGCTTCTGCGAGAATCGGCGTGGGCTTCATAGCCAAGACTTGTGTGCGGACAGCAGCAAAAGGGTCGTCTAGGACCATCAGGAAATAAAATAGGCGAGAACTCTCCCCCTGTTGTCTGATGAGGAGGGAAACTCCACATGTATAGAGGCCACAGGTACAACTAGGGGTTGGAGAGATAGCGTTCACCTCTTTCCATAGGGATCTAAGTTTTGTGTAGAACGCTGAGACGGTGTGCTTCTCTTGCTGAAGCAGACTAATCATACGACGCAGTTCGTATGTGCGAGACACGTTTACTTGGTCGAAACAGTTGTGCAGGGCATCCCAAATTTCTTTGGAGGTTTCAGCAAACCGTACGCTACTACGAATCTCTTTGTTCATTGCCGTCTTAAGCCAGCCTTTGATCATGGCGTCACAACGATCCATGCACTGCGTTGCTCCCCATCTGTCGGCTTGGCCAATGAACCATCAACAAAAGCATATTTGTTCTTTGCTATCAATGAGTCCTTCATGTTGAGAACCCATTCGTTGTAGTTTTTCGAAGTAAGGATGTCGTCGAACAGCATCTGACCAGGCCCATCTGAGTTATGGAGGTTGTAATCAGGAGGAAGATGATCTTCTTCGTCACCGCTGAACCTCTCCGGATACTGTTTGTTATTGCTCGTCAAGTGAGTACGGCTGTAAGCCGATTACATTGTTTATATAACCCATCATCTTTGGTTACTAGGGTTTCACAAGGAGACTTCTCCTTCCAGGTCACGCAAGCTGTTCTGGAGGAGGAGAGATGCGGCTAGGCCGCTGGAGCTGAAGTGGGCCGTGCAGGCTACTCGTTCGTGCTGCTGGGTTGGGCGAGGTAGCGGCAATCAAGTCCAATAAAGAGAGCACGAGAAGTGACCAATTGGATCAACTATGATATAGTGAGAAGAATACACAGTTTCTTAGAGTTAGATGCCCTTTCTTTTTACACAGAAGAGACGAGAAATTGCCACTGGTGGATTCTCAACTTGGGAGCCAAAAAGTATAAAGCTTGAGGTAAGGAGGAGGCTCGCTTTGCAGGTTGCAGCCGCAATAGCAGGTGGTCGTGATGTTTGGAATTACGGCGGAGATAGCTAGGAGATGCGGTGGAGACAGAGGAGCGTCGGAGCTGCGATTGAAAGAGGAATCTGGAACAGGAAGCATGGCAGGAGACGTGCCTATAAGGTGAGTTCCGCCGGCGAGGATTGAAGGAGCGTGAGATAGACGGTCTGTGACGTTGAGCTGGAGAATTCGATTAGGTTTCTTTTTCCCACAACGTGAATCCCCCTCTCGAGGAGAGTGATTAGAGTGCTAACTTCATAGTTGTTAGAGTGCTATCTATACCATCCATTATTTTAAGTGAATATGACCGTGGCTAATAATGAAGGGCTCGTTTGGTATTTTACTAAATTGAAAATAATACATAAATAAAAATTTAAAATCTCTTTTATCTCTCCTCTGTTATTTGTCATTTTATACCGAAAAAATTATTAACAAATTCATTACTATTTAAATAAATAATCGTTTTGGCTGATAGTAGTGATTTTAGGATAATAGTAGTGATTGTAGAACTTTTAATTAACAGGGAAGGGTTTTTTGGAGGTTGATAGTAGTGTTTTTTGAGGGTCATAGTGATTTTCTTGTAACTAGTAGCGTTATAAATTAATTTTAATTTGTAACGAACAACAAATTTTAATAAGAATCACTACCACACATTATAAAACACACTACGAACAGAAAAAAATGAATACCACAAATGGTCAAATCACTACTAACACAGGTAAAAAAATCACCACTAAAAGATGAATAATCGCTACTATACATGAGAAAAATCCTAATACTAAACAAAAACCACTACTATTAAAATATATATTTGCCTTTCCATTCCTTTCTTTCTTTCTCATCCAGGGGCATATATCTTCCCAAATCACTATATAAACCTACAATCACCATACAAAATCACTACCATAAACTACATTGACGGTGGGAGGTGCACTTGAGGGGGAGGGAGGGAGGCGATCAACGAAAAGGGGTGTGAGCGGTTGAGTAGATGATTGAAAATGTGGATATGGAACATAGAGGCGCGACACAAAGCCTACATCTTGTGTCAGATCTGCTCAAAGGTTATACCGATCCGTTATTCATTCTGGTATACCTTTCTGCCTTTCACAATAGTCTTGGCAGTGACCTCAACACTAGTGATTGATAGATAGAGCCGACGAATCATGGGGAGACTCCTCCATCACCATTGTCGCTTCCTACCTCTTGAATCGAAATGTCCTTCTACTCTTCTTCCCGGTTGCCGCTTGTCTCCATAGCATATCTATTTGAGCGACACTTCCTCCCCGTCGTCGAACCGTACGCAGAGATGGATAAGAAGGGAGAGAGGAGAGACAGTTGATGTAGAAAGAGGAGAAAATGGAAAGGCGGCCGTGGGTGAGAGGGATGGTGAAAGGAGCCTTTTTATATTAGGCTTTGATATAACATTCCTAAAATATCATTCACTTAATTGTGGCCTCATGATCAACATCTTAATCTAATGGCTAGTATACAGTCTAGGATGGTTCTAATCCCTTGAGGGGTTAGCAACGCAACCCATCCCCTCTTTCGACAATAGGTAGACGAGCAACCCCAAGCCCCCGCATATTTCAATTTTGTTTCACAAGTCACAACTATCATAACCCGAATCCATGGGTAGCCAACCCAAACAACGCGGATAAAATCCGTATTGATGGATTATGGGCGGGTTTTGGTTTAAACCCGTTTACTATTTCGTGGGTTGGGTTCGGGTTTAGCTATACCCAACCCGTACCTATCTCCAACCTAGGGGTGGGCAATGGGACGGGACAGGATACCCGTCCTGTTGAAATGGGTACCCGATCCCATTTGAAAAACAAAGTCCATCCCATGTTCCAAACCCATAAGCGTTAACGGCTACCCGTTACTCGTACGTACAGAACAGATAGTGGGTACCCAAACTACCCGTACATAACCCATCCAATTAAAATTGCTCCGGTTCTTCCCAACGACACAGATCCGACTGTAGGGGTGGTTGTCATAACTATTTGTTGACAAAGATAACCTAATACTTAATTGGACGAGTTGGGAAGAGTGGATGTCATAACTCTTCAGGGTTAAATGCACCGGGTGCCATTTAACTATTGCTAATGTTGCACGTTGACCACTTAAATAAGTTTTGTTGCAACTAAAACATCTAAGTCGAATTTCAGTTGCAACAGCACCATTTCCGTCCAAATAACTAACGGTAAGTACTGAAATGGTAATTTTCGTGACACGATGGCATTCTATATCAACACAGCTGCTGAGTCACACCACATCAAACCGTAGGCCACCAACATGCAATGAAGCAGGAGGGAGTCGAAATCTTTCTCCAGCTGCTTATTCTTGGACTGAGCCTGACAATGTGAATTGTTGCAGCATCATCCACCATACGAGGATGGAAATTAAACAACATGACTGGCAGGATCCAAATGTGGAGTAAGATTCTTGATTTCTTTCTTGCTTTCCCTTTCAAAAGAACACTATAGTGCCGCCACCAAGTGATAGTCCAATGATCCGAAAGAAGAAAAGAACACTATATATCATATACATCAGCTCTGCAATTTCTTTCCAGAGAGTAAGTTAATTATTGAACCTGCTAAAAGCTTGTGGATCAATTGGTTGTTTTTACATGTCATTGATGGTCCTGACAATGATAATAGAGCTTGATCCTGAGCATCCAGTGAATTTAGCTTTAAAAATCAAGCCTACAGAATGATATTAGAAATTGGTTGCTGAGTTGTAACCTTCAGGGAGGTCATGTCTTGAGCCGGAGACTACTCATGTCATTGGTACGTTGTTGCTGGCCAGCTGCAAATGGTGATCTTGAGATAATGATGTTGACTATCTTCGACCTCGTAGCTCATGATTTCCTCCGCAACTGGTCTCACCTGTCTTTGAAAATTACCCACCCAATGGAAGCACCATCTCAGTTGGAACTCCATCTCCATACGGCATTCTTCTAACATAACCAAGAAGTCTCCTCAGTTCGTTCTGAAGTTGAACATACTCAGGCCGTCCCCTTTTAATATATGTATCTATAAAAAGGATTTCGGTAAGTAATTGGTATTGGGAGAAGAAACAGAACACCCAAAATCTCTCTTTGCCTCAAATCATATATGGCGAGCGACACAATACCCGAAAGCATCATTGATTTTGGCCTGTTCTCTTGCGACCCTCTCTGGATTCCTCCCCTTGCGTCGATTTCCCTGGTAGTTTCGACATTATGTCGGCTGAACCTCTGTTTCAGTTTCATACTCGATTTTCTCTTAATGGAATAATTTCTTTTTGTTCTTAGGAGCGAGACATGTGATGGATTTCGATAATGTTGGGGGTAGAGACGCCATGGAAGGAGGAAGTTTCTTCCACTCTTTGATGAAAGAAGAGCTTTGCGCCAAGGATTTCGAACTGGGTTCCAGCGCTAGAGGGAAGAAACGGCGGCTGACCATCAGCCAAGTTCAGTCCCTGGAAAGAAGCTTTGAGATGGAGAACAATCTGGAACGTGGAGAAAAGTCCAGATTACCAAGGAGCTCGACTTGCATCATCTCCAGGTCGCCATTTGCTTCCAAAATTGTCGGGCTCTGTCCAAGAACAAGCAGTTGGAGAAAGATTTCGACTCCCTCTGCTTCTTTGCATGTTGGTGGGCCCAGGGTTTGATGTCGCGTATGTCAGCAGCTGTGCTGATATAGAATGTCAGTGTGTCACGAAAAATTACCATTTCAGTACTTACCGTTAGTTGTTTGGACGGAAATGGTGACGTTGCAACCGAATTACGACTTGTATGCTTTAGTTGCAGCAAAACTTATTTAAGTGGTGAACCTGCAACATTAACAATAGTTAAATGGCACCCGGTGCATTTAACCCTAACTCTTCACATCTGCCATTACTATTCTCTTCACAACCCACAAGAATGAAAACAGAGGATGGCCTAATTTTTGAGCCTTCAATAGTGGATTCCAAAATCTTCCTACAGTAAGCAAAGCGAGCGGAGATAACATATAGCTAGAGAAGCTCTGTTAAGATAAGTGTGAAGTGGGATTTGCTTGTCTTGAGAAAAAGGAGATCGATTGATTTCGCCCTTGTTTTACTTTAGCTCTTGAGGAATTTAATTTAATTTAATTTTGGATTTCTTTTGTTAACGGGTATTACGTATACTCCTATTACCCAAACGGGTATTAATGGGTAACCCGTGGGTAGGGGTGGATTCGCTTCGGTTCGGTTATAACCGATAACTGATTGGTCGGTTACCGGTTAACGAACCACCATCTCCCCCTACCGAACACCGACCGACGCCAATGCCTCGGTTAACCAATAACCGACCGGTCGATTATCGGTTAGTTGGTCGGTTAACCGAAATAACCGAAAAAATGATGGTGGTTCGGTTTTAACCGGGTAAAATTATTAGAATTGCCTAAAATGAAAGGTTCTAACTTACATTTCTACATCTAAATCACCAGATTAATGTCTCAAATTCAACAACATAAAATTATAAACTTCATACCGGGTATTTTCACATCGTTTTGGTGAGGGGGGTGGTCGGTCGGTTATTTTTGGTTACTCGGTTAACCGAATTACCTATTAGGAGTTCCGACCACCGAACGAAGCATATAATTTTCGGTTATCGGTTAATCGGTAACCGCCGGTTATCGGTTTAACCAGCCGGTTAACCGGTAACCGGTAACCGAACCTCCAGCCCTACCCGTGGGTACCCGTTGTAGAAATCCTTGATCCCAAGTCCCATCCCGTTTAAAAAAAAACGGGTATTTTGGTACCCTTAACCCTCAAAAAATGGGAGGGGTATGGGTATACCCAAATACCCGTTTCGTGTTACCCACCCCTACTCCAACCATGAATCCCTTACCCAGTTATCCTCCCATTCAACCATCTCCCATCCTAATATTCTAAGTAATATATTTTCTTTAAATAACTTATCTTCCTTATGTTTGTGCTAACATGTCTAATTTATTCTTTCTAATTGTGTAGAATGAAATTGATATTAAGTAGTGGAGAGTCAAGAAGTTTAGTTTTTTTTATTTATTGAGAGGAGGTCAAGCCAAAAGGCTAGCCGAAGGATACAACAAAAGGGTGAGACAGGTGAGACAACTGTTTATACAAAAGGAAAGCAGAGTCCGACCAGATCAGGGAAAGAAGCACAGCAGAACTCAGGGGAAAACTAAACGAAGAAATGAGTCAAACTAGTAATCATCTAGGATCAATCACAAGTTGTCGCGGGAAGCTTATCCTAGTGATGTCTTCACGAAGTGTCCTTTCCAGGTTAGTCGGGAGTTCGGTTAATTCATCGTACCAAAGGATAGACGAGACTATGCTTCGAGAGCCAGTCCACGACTCTATTCTCTTCGCAGTACGTGTGAACCAAACGAACTACCCAACTTTGGGCTATAAGCCTACGAATCGAGCTGAGAAGAGTAGTGATAACACCGTATTTACACATGTTGTTCCGGCCGTTTGACTTAGTCTTTGATTCTTTTTGGCCCATTTTAGGTAGTGCTTGTCGATGATGTTTCAGGTCCTATGCTCCTAGCACGTAAATGGAGGTTAAGGAGCAAGTTTGGGTGAAACTGGAGAGCAGACGGGAACCAGAGGCCAAAGTAGCAAAATCCACGGTCTAGTGCTTAATTCCATGAGTATGGATTCCACGAATGGACCGTGCTTATTATCCAGGGACAATCCTTGTCTGGTGTGTCAATTCCACGATCGGGGATTTCAAGTGGTCAAACGTGGATTTGGTTCGTGAGCCACTTATCACTGCGCGCCATTTTGAAAATCCACGGTCTGAATTCCAATTCCACGACCGTGGATTTTGACCATGGATTGCAGTGTCGAGTCTTCTAAGCTGCAGACTCGGGATTCTGGTTCATAATTCCAATTTTTCAAGTGACGGAGAACAACTTTGGGAGCATATTGGAGCGATCTAAGGACATTGGAGCTCAATCTTTCACCCTCGGAGTGTCGATTTCTAGCTTGGAGTAGATTTTCATTCATTTCATGATGATTTCTCTTCCAAACTTGGTGTTTTCCCTTCTCTCCGTGGAGTAAACTTTCTTTTCATATGGGTATAAAGAATCCTAGTCTTGTATGTTAGGAATGGTTTTATGAACCCAGTTTGTGAATGATTGTTTCGATATATTCAATTGAGACATTAATCAAATTTGCGTGAGTCCTGATCAAACTTGTGTGATTCCTGCTTTATTCCAATAGTCTACGCATAGGTTAATAGAGCAACCTTAATTTGAAGTAATGGATTGACTACTTTAGTCAAGAAGTCGATTCACTACTCTATACTGGAATTAAAACCAATAGAGGAAGTTTGGTGTGTTATTGACTTGGTTAGTTTGCGTTGGTGGAGGTTAGTATTCAACCTCTATCATCATAATGCTTAAGAGTTTTGTGGTCTTCCACCACATGAGCACCTACGGTGGTTCCACGAGCTGATTGATGGGTTCAAGATCAATGAGGTCCCTCAAGATTCCATCTGGCTATGCTACTTCCCATTCACTCTGGATGGACAAGCCAAGTCGTGTCTGGACCACCGGCCTCCTGGGTCGATTACCACGTGGACCGCCATAGCCAACAAGTTCTTGACCCGCTACCATTCCCCAACTAAAACTGCAGATCTTTAGAAGGAGATCACCCATTTTGCGCAAGAAGAGGATGAGACCATCCGGGATGCGTGGGAGAGATACCAAGGTATCTTCTTGAAGTTTCCCAACCATGGGTTCTACGATCCTTTCAAGGTGGGTACTTTCTATCGGGCTTTCTTTTCTAAAGATAAGCAGCTTTGACTCGGTCTGTGGCAGAAACATGTTCACCAAGACGCCACCGTAGTTGAACTAACTCTTTGACGAGATGGCAGAGCAGGGGTATGATTGGGGGGTCTGCACCTCGATTGCGAAGAGCACCAGGCCGTGGTGTGCATGCAATGGATACCCTATCGTGCGATCTGGTGAGCGTGGTCACTAAACTGGTCATGGAAATTGAACGAAATGGGATGATTCCAGGTGCATGTCAGCAGCAAGTAATGTACTGCCAGTGGTGCAAGAGCATCAACCGCATGGTAGAAGAATGCGAGGCGATGAGGGAGTTTAACTCACCTTAGTAGCAGTTGGACTTCATCAACAATGCTTGGCGCATAGACCCACACAATAACACAAACAATGAGGATTGGCGCTAACATCCCAAATTCTCCTGGGGTGGGAACAATAATCTCAAGGCATCTGGCTCTAAGGGACCACCAGGCTTCTAGAGATCGCCGTATCAGGCCCACCAGGGTCAATTCCAGCAGCCGCAACAACCTCTTTATCGGCCTATACAGGGGTAATCTCTTCCTCAACAGTAGTCGCAACAGTTTTAGTAGCTGGGTGCAGCCCTAGCAACCCCCGTACAACGTGATTCAATGGTCGAGCTACGCAACATCGTGGGAGCCCTTGCCAGCACTAGCGCTCAGAAATTTAGCAATTTGGATCATTTATTGGAGAAGACCTCCTGATAGTTCTTGGACCTTGAAGCTAGTCAGAAGTCCCTTGAAGCTGGTAAGAGGAACACACTAGCTATTCTGCAGGACATCCAGCTCCAGTTTGGAAGTGTCCATAAAGTCGTGGCACGGCGGGCTCCAGTTACCTTACCAGCTCATACCATACCTAATCCCAATGACCCGGATGCCTGCTTACATGCTGCAACTACCAGGAGCAGCAAGGTGACTGCGGGGATTCCCGTCCAGGCCAGACAGGGGGAATAAAGACATGCTTCGGCACTTCCAGCAAATGAGGAAGAAATGGGGAAGGAGGTTGAGATGTCTGCTCCCAAGCCACAACCTGTGGTGAAAGAGTATGTCCCTCAACTCCCTAGCCTACTTGGTTGCACAAAGACCGACTGGAGACTGAGTTTGCTAAGTACATGGCAATGTTGAAGCATGTGAATATCAGTATGCCTTTCATGGAGGAACTATAAAAAATTCCCAAGTATGCCAAGTTAATGAAATACCTCCTCACCAACAAGAGGAAGCTTGGGGAGCTACCGAAAATGATGCTCAACGAGGAGTGTTCTGCCATCCTATAGAATAATCTATCAGGGAAGCGCAAAGGCCAGTGGGGTTTACTATTTCTGGCATAATAGGTAGCTTGCATGTAGGAAAGTCCTTGGTGGATTTAGGCGCTAGCATAAATGTCATGTCTTATAAAATGTTTAGGAAGCTAGGCCTAGGTGAACCTAGTAATACTAGGATGAGCATACAGTTAGCGGATATATCTATTGTGCATCTTAGGGGAATTGCAGAGGACTTGATAGTCATAGTTGGGCCATTCGCATATCATGTTGATTTCGTGACTCTTTATAAATGAGGATGTGGATGTGCCTCTAATTCTAGGTAGATATTTTCTTTCCCCCGCCAAGGCACTCATTGATGTGAATGATGACAAGTTGATTTTGAGGGTTAGGGGTGAACAAATCACCTTCTCTGTTTCTGATAATATGAAAAAATCCTAGCTCCATGATGATGTTGATTAATGTGATGTGGTTGCTGATTATGAGACCACACCCACCATCACGAGTGCGGGTAATAATGATTTCCTCGAGCGTTGTCTTTTGCTAAGGGAACATGCATCACAGGAGCTACAGCTAGTGGAGCAGCTCGTGAAATT